ATATATATATACATATATATATATATATATATATATATATTTGTTTTACAGTTTGTAGCAATACAGATTTTGTACAGAACAGTATTGCTTAAAATTGAATGAGGTGACACAGCAACACTTCAAGATTAAGTTTAGTATACCCTCCACATGGAGAGCCCGTGTAGCTCAGGGGTTAAGACGCCACTATTAAATCACATCTCCGGTTTGAGTCCGGCCGGGATTATTTGTTGCATCTCTCTCTCCTTCCTTTATGTAATAAAGGCTTAAAATGGCAAAAAAACAACTTGACAATGAAGTATCCTCCACATAGTCTCAGTGTACGTAGAAATTGGCAAAAAACAATTTTGTTCATGAATAAACAAAAGTATCATTTTGTATCATCCCTGGCTCAGTGGCTCTTGGAGCTTTTTAATAATGTGATGGGAATGAATGAAACTGTTAAGGGGATCTGGTCGTGGATTTAAACAGCACTACTTACTCTGATGTTTAAGAAACATGCATATTATGAAGCACAGCTTTGCAGTAGATTGGGGTTTTCTAACTAGCGGCAATATTTTAAAGAATGTAAATAATAACCATCACCTCTCTCCTTCACTATAAGTTTATTCCTCTCTTTCCACCCCTGTTCATACGGGCTCTTTGTTGATCTCTTTCTTCCTCCTTTTCCCCTCTTATCTCTCTCTGTCTCCCTCTTTCATTCCTGTGTGAGCTTGACTCCTGAGATGCTGTCAGTGCTGACAGGTGAAGCAGCAGGGGAGACAGGCTGGCTCGAACGCCAAGCTGCTAGCATGTTAAAGGAGGAAAAATAAACCACACACTCCAGTCAACCTTCCCTCTAGAGGTTTTTGTTCAGGTCCTCTGATTTCCTCGAGAGACTTTCATTCTAAAATGAGATAGAATTCCCGTTCTAACACTGCACCGTCTGCTTCAATTTAGGTAGTATTGCTTTACATTTAAGTACGTTTAAACAATATATCAGTGGACTTTATACCAGCATAGTAATACGTACACTGTCAATTATTACAAGGCAAATTAATGCATTTTGAAAATATTTCAGAGGCTGTTTCTTTATCTCTGACCTTGCCATCCGGGTTTGCAGACAGGCTTGACATCAATATTCACAGCCACATCCTCCTTTGCTCTCTTCTGACCGCAGTCAAAGGCCGTCACCATAATCTTGTAGCTTTGCTGCTTGTCATAGCTCAGCCGCTCTGTGTTTCTGATGTTTCCTAAAGGACACACATACAAAGAGGAAATATAATTTACTGATAGAGGGAAGAATGGTTAGGCTGATTTGGCTATAATAAAGCAAGAAACACTTCCCACTGAGCAGTAATTGAAACTGACTTTGCATTTAAAAAAATGTGCTCCTTGAAAACGAAACATAGCTCTTTGTTTTTATTGAAGCCTTTTACTGGAAACTGAAGGTCCAGTAACCTTGTATTGCGTTTGAAAATCGGAGCCTCTCCCGCATGATTTCATCTGATTTTGCGCGGAATCCGACCCAGTGGCACCGTCGACAAGCAATAACAATAACTGTCCAACCTTCTCTCTTGCTGTCGTGTTTACTTATGTAGGTCATTTAGAAGCATCAGTATTACATTGAGACGGTATCAAAACCAGTTAAAACACACACAAAGTAACTTTCACAGTACCGTCAAGTAGCATACAGTAACATGTTACTATTGAAAGTAACTTGTGTAGTCTTATAAAGAAATCGTTACAATGAATATACTAACTGGGAGAAATATACAGCATTATAACTGCTTCTTATTCAGAATTACTGAGGAAGAACTACAAAATATCAGAAATGCATCATATCTCAAAGAGAATGCTTGATGGTTGCATGCGTCACCAAAACACTGTTAACTTTGTGCAGAACTTTATTTGTAACCTAGTAGGGCCTGTTTTTAGTGAGCTAGTTTTAATATTACTTTTGTTGCATATTTTTGCAGGGTTGTTTGGATCACACAAAGATATTGTGAAAGCCAAACTCTTGTCCACATTGAGATCCTGGTGACTTCATTACCAGAGCGCTGATTGCAGCAGTTCCTTTGTAGACTGTTTACATATTTCAAAGAACTTGCTAGAGCATCTTAGCTTTGCAGTATAAAATATTATGGGCATGTGAGCTGGTTTTATGAGACCAGTTGAATCCAAAGTTTAAAATAAGGTACAGTAACCCATTCATCTTGCTTCATGAGAGCGGCCCCAGGTGGAGTGAAGACTACTCAACTGTAGCCACCACGGTTCGGGTTGGCTATTTGTCAGAAGTAGACAACACACACAAACAAACACAGACGTAGAGAGAGAAAGAAGAGAAGAGAGAGACTCCTGTGTATTTCATTGATTACTTGACATTTTATATATTGGATGCCTTAAGCCCTAAGTGCATGGGACTAGTATTACCAGGGGTCTGCAGGGGTCTTCACCCATGTCCCCTCTACATGGTTTGAGGAGCCCAACAAGTGTGAAAGAATATTACGGCTATATCGATTCACTAGGGATTACACCCCAGGAAGACTGCTTGCAACAATTCAACAAACAAGTATGTTTTACTGACCGAGCTAAATTTTAACAATGCAGCAGTGCGGTTCATAGCCTCTTTAAACAGAGTTAGCTGTTGGTTGCAACGAATGCTGTACATCACAAAGAACATCAAAGCAGAAACAACACAAGACTTATTCAGAATTATTTTACAGATGATGATTAAACACATAACTTATATGTGAGAGAGATACGGATGTTCCTAAAGATAAACAGCAGGCTTCAAAGCAATGTCATGTTCTCAGTTTGTCAAAGATGTTTCCTATCAGTCGTTCACAGTTTGTCTACGGACATATGAGGACAACTAAAGCTATTTTTGTTGTTAGCATCTGGAGGCTTGGCTGTCACTCTGGTTGCTGTCAGAGAGTAGAGCAGAAAAGATGAAAAGAGCGAGAAGGAGGGGAGGCCAGAGGAGAGGAGTTTTAGTGAGCAGTAATCAGTTCAGAGCACAGCAGTACAGAAAAGAGATGATCTTAAAATGTCAGAGGAAGAAAGGTGACGAGGTCAGAGTCAAACAACTCCTACAGTGACTATTAAACCACAGCTGGTGTAAACAACAGTAACAGTTAAGGAACAGGATTTCAACCAAATGCCACTTTTTCAACAGGTAAGATGATATTTCACTTTAAAAAGACATTTTACTCTTCTTGGTTCATTTGCAGGAAACCTCAAACGTCTTCCTCTCTGGGGATCTATGGTGCCCAGCTGTATTAGGATTTTCTTAATCTCCAGATAGTTATTAACGGGACACCAATTATAGACGTGAAGTTCAGCTTGTCACAAGGAGTACTAGTCAACTTGTGAATACAGTTGCATAATGACTTACGTGGCTCTGGGGGGAGATTTCTAAAGTTTGAAAAATAAGCCTGATGAATTTTGCTTACTGTGCGAGATCTCTCTCATGGCACCAGATAACACCGCTGGGGATACAAACTGTATTCCCTCACATCACAATAAAAGGTAAAACATGAAAGATAGAAACTAAAATGCAGTATATCTGGGTCAGCAGTACTCACTATAGTCTTAACAAGGTATTCATTTAATTATGTTCCAAAAATACAAGCTGCTCACCCTCTGTGTGGTAAATATGCAGAGTATGTGTGCGAATGAAAAGGCGTCCTGAATTGCAGGTGCGTCTACACTGGCAGCAAACTCCATTGCAATTACACCAATGTCAGCAATCCAACCGAATTAACAGCCAAATAAACAGATTTTACCAAACCTCCATGTATTGTATATGGCTAAATATACATTTTTAATTATGTTGGATCTAGGCAAAGTGAATACTATACATCAAAACACAGCAAAGGGATGTTTCACTGGAGCTCAATTTGCCTGTAGCCACCGTGCAACCAACCACATCTAAATTCTGGTTGTTTTTTCGAAACAAAGGCAGTGTTTTCTCCATTCTTAATTCACTGTCTGTTTTAATTTCAATTGACTTGAATCACAGATACATACAAACAAACAAACAAACCCTGACTTAAAGTCATTCTTGATAGTATTTTATTCTTTACACAAAGTTGGTCTATTCATTGTTTGCTCGAACGATTCATCTCAAGATTCAGTCGTCTCAGCATTTCTCATGTCTATCTTTCGTAGAGACTTGTTCATACGAGGTTCAGATGACTGAAAAATATATTTTTACTTTCACCGAGACATTAACCATGCTCTTTGTGCTGTTTTAACTCACGTGTATGAAGTAAATGATCCTTAAAATAACAGCCTTCACCCTAATTTGTTTCAGTTGAGAAAGCAATCTCCCCCCAAGGTGAGATTTAGTAGCTGCTGATTTTTTTCTGAGCACTTAAGGACTTCTCATCCATGTTGGCTTAAAAATTACAGTTCAAAGTTAATTCCTAAAGATGCTCAATGCGTAATTCAGAGCATATTCAGAGCATCAGAGATTGAGGGATTGCCTCCACACGACTCTCAACATGACGGCGGCTCACAGCGCTGTCAGAGCTAACAGCGCTGACAGAGCTAACAGTGTTTTCTTGAGGGGGAACTGGAGAATGGGTGCTACGCCATCAGTATGAGAACATTGCAGAGCGGCTGCCATTAGCTAACCAGTGCGGCACACTCATATGCACTAACATGCACTAAAAGGCATATATCTCTATATTTGCTTAAGTAGACATTACTCCACTATATCTTTACATAGCAAATAGTTGTTTGCTGCTATATTAATGCTCTGAATGTTGCATAGAGAACCTTTAAAGATGACCTGATGTACAATTGTGTGTGTGTGTGTGTGTGTGTGTGTGCGTGTGTGTGTGTCACAGAATTAGTGGCCCTTCAATGTATTTGAATTTAATAAAAACTTCCCAAGAACAAAGCCTCCAGGCACGCAAACGGACTCTCGCTGTGCTATCCTAGTTTCCCTTCTCACAATGACACACATACTTCATACCTAATCACATCATTTATAACTACAGTCCAGTCTCTCATTCAGCCAAACACACATAAATGCACACACACTTACCATTGCGGTCTATTGCAAATGGCGTCCCTGCAGTGACAATCTCATAGTTGCAGATCTGGCTGTACTGTGGTGAACAGTCTTGGTCCCAAGCTTCCACCTGCAAATCATAACAGTACGTTTCCTCCCAGTTCTTGACCAACACTAAATATCCCAAATGTTCAATCTAATAATTTTTTTGTGGAATTATTAAACCTTCTTACTGCACATTTATATGTCAGGTTGATTGTAACAATACAACAATGATGCAAAATGTAACATGGCTAACTACGTATATAACACCAACTTTAATATATAATATCTAAATACCTGCAAAATGCTGTCGTAGATTTTGCCCTCTGTTACCGATGCCTTGTAAAGTGGCTCCCGAAACACGGGGCAGAACTCATTGACATCATCCACCTGGATGTGAACCACCGCCCTGAGTGGAGGAAGGAATGAAAGAAAGAGGGAGCAGGGAGGGAGGGAGGGAGCACAGTAGGAGGGATGCAAAGAAAGTGGAGTGGAAATGATTGATGAAGAAAAGGGAAAAAAGGACAGTGAGAGAAGAGTTGGGTGGAGGATGGGAGAGTGGAGAGAAGGAAAAATCTCTTTAAGTCATTGAAATTAATTAAGAACAAAAGTATTTCACTGTTTATCTTAAGAACGAACAGTGGTTAGTTGAAGGCAGAAGATGCTCGTGGATTCTTCCTTGTCTACCGACACAAGCTCATCCACAGCAGATCCTGCAAAGCCATATTGTTTTTTTAAGGTACTAGTTGGTACTACTTCACTATCTCCTTCCCTATAGTCTGATGCAAACACACACGTAAAGCCCCAATCTCATCTGCCGGAATAAACTGATATTATTAATACACTCCGATAACATTTGTGCACTTAAGTCTATAAATGGAGCAATAATTCAGATCATATCATTACATTTTCACTCTCGGTGACCTTCGCTGACAACAACTCGCGGTGTATCTGAAGAAGCACATCTGGCTAATTAATAACATTAGCCTAATGAGGCCTATTTAGAATGGCATGCTGTGATAATGTCACACTCTCACACGCGTACAATTCTTGTCATTCATCATCCACTGGTGAAATTCATCACAGATCCCTGAGCTGATACATTTATCTCTCTCTCTTCTTCCTTTTAGTACCAAGCCTGCAGCCGCCTATTTTCGCAGCTCCTTGTCTCCGAGTGAAGGACCAGAGGGTTTGATTTGCTGCTGTCCATGCCATTCTGCCTGTCTGTCAATCTCATTCACATACCACTGCCACACACACATGCAGACACACTTAGTATTGATGGGCCATTAGGGGGACACATCCTGAGAACAGAACTGCAAGTCTCAGCTGAGACTGCTGCCGTACTGAGAGATCTTGGGGAAAAGAGAAAGAAGATAACTTACAGTAGAAACAGCAGACAACATCTAATTATAGATTTAAGGTATTTTTCCTCACTATTTTGAGCTGTTGGTGTAAAATATAAAGGTTTTCTATTTTTGTATAAACACCTAACTTAAAAATCTATTTAAAAGGGGGGGTTTATTGTATTGTAATACATTGAGGGATATAGTTGTAATCTTTGCCTAAGATGACAAATTCTGAAATCATAATTTCCAATGCACACTCCAACCCCGTCCTCTCTAAAGCAGGGTCCTAAAACCACAGGTGAACAAATCACGTCTGACAACTTTGCAGTTGTGTCAACACGTTCGGATCCATTTGAGTCATGCTTGAAAATAATTCAAAATAAGTGAGCATCATATCACTTTTTTGTACATTTTATTCTAGCCATTCAAATATTCATTTGTATAAAGCAGGTAGAAAGTACACCACTAACATCAGTATAATGCAGTATATAATAGTGTTGGTGAGGCTCAACTTATGAAAGTTTCTCTTTGTTTTTCATATATTTTGTGAGAACTTAATATGAGTTATTAATGCAGCTGCCTTTGCAGCTTTTGAGTTAATATTTGTTTGTATGTCATCTTTCTTTTACTTTGTCCGCCCACTTTAAGTCAGAATTACTCCCACAGCCAAACAAGTGAATCATGCAAAGATAAAGAATAATTAGCCGTGTTCGACAGCTTTAATACAGGGTCTGACAATTTCCATTTTCATAACAGAGTTTTTAGGCAGCATAAAGAAAGTTTTAGAGATACAAACATATCAAATAGTCGATGGATGAAGTATTGATAAGGTCACAATGTGTAAAGCTTTTGCATACAAAAAAACTACAATGTTGTAAAAGAGTTAAATGAACACTTTTCTGACATTATGTTAACACAAATTAACAATTTAAGCTTCAGACAAAAATTATTTGTTGCAAGGCAAGTGTACTAACTTGTAATATACTGTAACATATTCCTGTTATTTTGTAAATCCACCAATATTTTTTGTCTCACTCTTAGTAAACCGGGACAGTACGCAGAAAGCCATTGTTTGGGCAGAAAAACACGCAAAAAAGCATGTTTGACAATATCTGTCTTATTGACAGCAAAATCAAACACACCCACAAAAAATTAACAAACACTGGTTATTAACTCACTTGTGGGATTTCTTCCAGTCGGCCCCGCTGGGTCCGGCCCCACAGTCGTAGGCCTGGATTATGAAGGTATACTCTTTCTGGCTCTCACAGTCCACAGGGCTACTGGCCCGCAGGACTCCCTCTCCTGATGTGCGATTCAACACCACTGCCTCAAATGGAGCATCCTGGCCATAGATCTTAAAGGCACAAATCTCCCCTGAAAAGACATGGAAAGATGCATAAATGATGGGATGTTTTATTTTACAGTAGCAGAGATAACACCGTTATTTTAGCGTTCCATGCAGTATTTCCTATCTTAAGCAGGGATCCATGCTAGATTTCTTAATTGGGGTACAATTTGTGAGAATGTCACCAAAACTTGTTTATTCTCCTTTTGTGCCAAAAATGGAGGCAGCATTTTCTTTGTACTGTATATATGACATACACCAATGCTGATTAGTGAGTTAGGAGAAAATTAAAACACAAACAAAAACAGTGTGAAGATATTCAGAGAGAGGGGGAGACACAAACATCGAGTTAATATGAAAAATTCCGGCATATTTTAACACTTTTTTTTACAATTTGAGGAGGAAAGTAGTTTGTGTATCAGCCGGACGTCTAGATTATCCCTAATCTTTATCCCAAAGTTAAAGAGTAGTAAACCACGTCGTTCTAAAGACAAAATATTACGGGCTTCAATATGTCTGTTCCCCTACAGAGGCTGAACATGTTGGTGACACTGAGGATGATGAATATGGAGGCAGTCACATCGCACTGTGTGAGAAACACAGTCTGACACTGCACTTCATTTCAGATCGACGCTGCTTGAACAAACATTATTAAAAATAGCATGGGAAACATTTTCAATATCTGGACTAATCATTCACTCAGTTTTCCTTCACGACATTGCTGGTAAAAGCTTTTATGTATTTTTTTCTTTTCTTTTTTTTAAAGCTTTGTTTTGTCTCCCTGTGATTTTCTCAAACCCATAGCTACCGGACAATTGAAGTTCAACGCAACAATGGGTAATGAGCTAAAAAAATACACAATGCTGACATTTTGCTGACAGCACAGCTATCAATTCAAATTTGAGTCCAAGTCTCATTTCTGGACACAATGATCTTTGTCAGCAAGAGCTGCTCACAAAAACACAGTATCCAGCTCCTGGGGTGTATTGAGGAGAAAACTAATTTCTGATATGTGTCAAACTGTGAAAGCTCAACAAAGGATAGAAAATTGTCTTGTCCGCAGAGTGCTCTACCGTACACGCCGAGTGCATTGTGTTTGTCTGACGTTTGTGTGTGTTTCTGTGTGTAGATCTGGTTGTGAGTCATCTGTGGAGTTCATCCCCTGCACAAGTGTTCATTTCAGGGATTTGGAAAATCTCCTTGCACAGGGAACAAAAAGCTGCAGCGCTCTGACCCTCTGCTGGCTGATATCTCTCAGAACATAGTGGGACACAGCAGCAACAAAAAGCTTCCTAGCTAAGGGAATTCTCCTTGCATGCTCAAAGCCCACAGACAAACACAAAGACAAAGTTCCCTCTCGCCACTGGCTTCTTTCCACTTCTGTCCCCCCTTGTCTTAATACCCCACCGTCATGTGCAAAGTCTTTCATTTTCTATCTCTGACTTCCTTTTAACCTGATTCAACTTTTCACACCCCCTTCTTGGTTAAATAATGATGATGCCAAGCACAGTGGGCTTCAAGGGTAGATCCCCCAAAACAATTTTCAAGATGCCTGGCCCTCGTATTGGCCCCTTTGAGGTTGGTTGAGGTTTGTTATCAAGATGAAAATGTCTCCAATATGGCTGTGGTATGTGATGGGGACAGTTCGTATAGAAAAATAATACTAAACACAGCAGGTGGTGGACGAAAGGTGATAAGCATGGTGTTGACCCTGCCTGTACGGACAAACAAACTGAGCAAATTTGATCTTCGATGGGACCAAAGGGAGAGGAATCTGGTTTGAAAATACCACCGATTATAATATACTGGTGCAGCCCGTATACATAAACTTTGACTTAGTGTTGGGGAGCAGTAAAAGGTAGTTCCACCTAACAGTTTGGGGATGGATGCAAATCCATTTTCCGCTCCATTTGTTGTAGCAAATTCATTTTTCAGGATTACATTTTACAGGAGAACGTAACAGAGTCATGGAGTGTAGGAAGGATGGAGAGAGCAAAAGAAGAGGAGGGAGAGAGAGAGATGAGGAGGAGGAATGTGATGTGCCAATGTATATGTAAATATAAATGACAGAAATTTCAGACGGATTCCAACTGTGTCAGCAAATGTGCACTTTACGCACACACATGCACACTTTCTTTCCTGCCACTTAGTTTGCTTCTCACCAGCTCCAAGCAGAGGGAACACATTAATTTCACCCCCGTTGAGGTGTACGGATGAAGTGAAGTCTAATCCTTTGGCCTATACGTCACCAGGGAAAGGGGTCGCTTTTCAAAGTAAACATCATAGATTTCTGTTTTGGGGAGTTGGGCCTGTTGCATTGGCAGTTTGAGAGTAAAGTGGAAGAGTCAGCAAAAAAATGATTTGATAATAACATTCATCTAAAATAGATGGTACTCCGTAGAAAGCTTGAGCGGCATAAACTACATCGACAGAAAACGTCAAGCTGTCAGGGAACATGTATTTCACGGGATGTTAAATTGCCAATATAACGGAAAAGGACAAGAGGAAAACAGTTAATGAGAAAATAATACTCCACACCTAACACGATGTCAAACGGAGCCGAAACAAACGTTTCTACTCCTACCGTGAGAAACAGTAGTTGGCAGAGCATTTCATTTCTTACTAGTTTATTAAATTATTTGTTGGATTTAACAATTGCTTACACTTAACTTTTAATATTCATGAATGTTTTTAAAGGGATGGAAATAATATTATGTCAAATAAAGTGTAAGTCCAATTGGCTGAATCAGCTTCCCATATTTTCCTGAAGGCCAGTTGTATAGATATTGCTACATGCCATTTGTGTACTGGTACACTTTAATTTGTATCACTTGGTTGTTGTGATTACTCTCTCACTTTATGTGAGCACGTTGTGTGTTTGTAATCTGAGTCAACTGCACAACATTTCATGTCATTAAAAATGATTGAATACTCCCGAAAAAGTGTCAAATGAAACCAAAGTGGTTCATAAAAATGTCAGTGATATTAATGACATTACACGTTTAAGATCAAAAGAAAAACTTTAATGAATGAGGGTTCCTCCACTGACCAATTTATAATGCACATTTAAAAAAAATGTATACAAACACACTGTTGGTTGTGGTGACATGCATATTTAATGTTGTGTACGATATTGTTCAAAGCATTTAATCACATTTCAACAATGTGAGTAAATTATCCAGAAGAAATAAACTTTCTACATGGAAAATATTTGATAAAAAAGATAAAATCAACCTTAATATCAGTGAGCTCATAGGTGTTTCTTTCTGTTTTTGATTACAAAAAAATAAAAAAGCTTGCAGCTCTAACTACAAAGAAAGGCTAAAATTAACTTTGAAAAAAACATATTTTAAGTGACTTCACAACACTGATGGATTCTCATACATACCTTTTTCACAACGGACATTTTAATAATAGCAGGAAAAGCACAGGTGTTTCGACAAACGAGAGCTCTGCTCAATTAAAGCTCCTCAGTACACGAGTACGCACAATCTAACACTTTGTTAAGGTTATTCTTCAGACCTGTGAGGTTAACACCTTGGAGCTCTGTCACGCAAGTGTCATCAGTCATTTCACAATCAGCACCAAAATGTAATGACCCAGTGTACAAATGGCAAATACTGAAATTCAATATAGGAGTCTGACATACTGTGGAGATGATTAACATGCAGGTCAACCATTATAGTAATCTCAACAGGGTGTGAAAAGGGAATAACTGTTTTGAAATGACAGGCCTTATCTCATGATGCAAAACAGCCCACACTATAACTACGCTAACATGCTCATTACAATGCAAGCAAGACCAAGTATACAGTACAAAAAGACAAACTGAGGTCAGGACCTGTGATTTAAATTGCTCTCTTCATCTGGAGGTTTTGGGCGATTCACCCCCTGATGCCAAGAAGACAATTATGTCAAATAGACAGGCTGCTTAAGTCCTTTGGGTTAAATGAGAGGTGCAATTTTTTCTCATCAGCATGAAAATGAAAGAACATGTCATGCTGTCCAATAATGTGACCCACGGGTAACATGAGTGGAAACAAATTAGGGCGAAAAAAATGTATATCTGGAGTGAAGATCAAATGCTTCACTGATTAGTGTGCTACAACAGGAAACATCTGTCCTCTTCAGATTTGAGCAGTTACCATTTGATGTAGCACCTTGCATCACGACTGCGATCCTGTGACCTGCACAACAAAATATAAGGAGTGACTTTCTAAAGCAGTGGTTCTCAACTGGTCTGGACCCACCATCACCCCTTCATGACAAGCCGCAATCCAAGTTTTCAACTTCTCAAATTGATTTAATGAAAAGATGGTGCAGTTTGAACCTGAGCTGAAAATGTCCTCTGCAGTCGTAGTAGTAGGGAGCTCTCTGGTGCAGAGAAATTGTTCCCGTCACAAAACACACTGAGGTTTTTTGCCCTCTTTTTTCCTCAATGTAAGAAAATCCATATCTCATGTATAGTCGGTGTCAAACGTGCACTTCGCCATGCTCAATTAGCACATGAAAATAAACTTTGTGGGTGTTGTTCTATACTGTGAAATGACGGGTGTCTATTAGCATTACAAGGTATTAACGCCAAATACTGTTAATTAAGGAGTGTAAATAACTCCGCTGCATAAAAAATCCCCTTCAAAATAAAAGCACAGGATTTTTTTTTTTCAGGCAAAGGCCCACGACCCACTGAAAACGCGTCCGCAACCCACTTTTGGGTCGCGACCCACCAGTTGAGAATCACTGTTCTAAAGTACTGAAATCCTCCAGTGAGCCCTCTTTCTCTGTCGAGCCTCAACAGAGAAAGAGGAAATTCAATCATGTTAATTCCTCTTCTTAATCAAATACTGTTGTGACTCCATCTGTTGTGTCTGTGCACGAATGTCTGTCTCTCTGTAGAGCATTAGACATGAATGCTTCAGTATCACGATTTGACCGTATACAGTATATGTGTGTGTGTGTGTGTTGAGGGGAGCTGTAAGACCTTGATTAAAGAGAGTTTCTAAGCAGACTGAGTATCAGGTTTTAAGCC